CTTAGGTGATCCTCCCACCTCAGCCTCTCAAGTAGCTGGAACCACAGCCACACACGACTACCCCCAGCTAATTTTTTGATTTTCTGTAGAGATGAGGTCTTGCTATGTTGCCCAGACTGGTCCTGAACTCCCGGCTTTAAACAACCTTCCTGCCTCGGTCTCCCAAAATGCTGGGATTACAGACATGAACTACCAAGATGAGCCAGAAGACTCACTTCTAGCCCTCCTAGTCGAGAAGTATCAACTAAACATGACCTAGGTCCTAAAATCCAGAGCCTGTTCTCATGGGCTGCCTGAAGAATCCCAGGCTCCTCCATGGAAAAAACAGGATGGATGAAAGATGAAATAGCTCATTTTACCAGAAACACTCTGGGATACATTGGCCTTATCGCAACCACTGTCTGGGTAAACTGGAAAGTAAAGCACTAAAAAACAATTTAAGAATTCTAGGTGTTCCTGGAAGTATGACAAATGATGACTTCAAAGCATTCTGCAACTGACTGCCAACAAATGCTTGGAACATGACGTGACAGCAAAGTCCAGGTGACAGGAGCCGCCAAGAAGCTCCTGAGACTTTAACTAAAACCAGCAACTTGGAATTTCTTTATTCCTCTATCACAAATTCATAAAATGTGCAGAAATTTCTACACAAGGTATGTACGTACCTTGAGGCACTAGGTGTGCATACCCGAATGATAGCTGTCATCAGAAACTACGGGTAGCCAAGGCTAACCTTGGGGAATCACAGGAAAGGCATACAAGGTCATTTTTAATGAAACACCAGAAACTCATATTCAGCTCCTCACAACCACTTATGCAGAGCTCTTTGAGGGCTAGGAAGAGAGCCTGTCAACAGCTGAATTTCTGAAGGATACTTTTCTGGAATGGACTAAAGAACTATATCCCTTGCTTCCAGGTTGTGAGCAACTAGATATGGTCTATTTTTGGTTAAATGATATAGTAATTTTTTATTAGGTTACCTTTGCATCAGAGAGCATGTGGCAAAATAAAATAATAATAATAATAATAATAATAGTACTTAAAAAATAATGCAGAAGTTTTATGCTTTTAAATTTGAATGATTAAAACACAATAGGTCTTCCCTTTATCATCAAAGAACATATGATCAATAAAAATGATTTCATATTTTTATTAGTGGTATAAGACTGACAGTAGAATTAATGTCAATTACCCCATACTTTATTATATAAACTTTTAGAAAGTAGATGCACAAATTAATAAATTGTTTATTTTCTACTACTTATTTTTTTTATCTTATGAACTGAGAATTACATTTAGATTGTAAGACTGTTAGAACCCTGCAGATAATATATTTTAAACTTTCCACTATGATGAAAGAGGTCAGAGATTTAAGTGAATCAACCAAGAACTCAGAGCTGGTTGCTGTTGTGTCTCCAACTTATGTTTTCACAGCAGGGATGCTGAAACCTGACCAGGCTGGGTTAAAATCCTTGCCTTGCTACTTACTAGCTGTGTAATGTCAGCAAATTTCTTAACCTCTCTGAACCTCTGAGTCTTTTCTTTTTTTTAAACACAATCTATAACCTGGTGAACCTCTGAGTATTTACCTCCAAATTTAGGATGATACTACTTTATAGGATGGTTGTGAGAATGTAATATACAAAAAGTGCTAAGTGCAGTAAATGCTCCTGAAATATATATTTGTCTAAAAAACGTGAGGTCCTCTTTCTGATTCTTGGCTTGGAATATTGCAATAGAAGCTAACAAAGTCTACGAAAACAGGAAGCTTGCTTATAAATTCCTGCATTCCCCCAGTCAGCCCAGTGTTATGTTCTGAAGATCTTAAATTTATAGACCTGGTCTCTTCCAATCTATAAGAAAATGAGAACCTAAATTAGCTGCATAATAACCCAACTGGATAGCATATTTCTTGTGATGATCCAGTCCATGGCTGCCTTTGCTAATAGTCCACTAACATGCAGCTACCTCCGTGCTCCATGTTATGCTGCAATCTCTGTAACTGGGCTTGTACTCTGGGTCTTGTTTCAATTCCTTTGCACTCTGGGACAGGTAAACAACCATGCACCTCTGCCTGTTTTTCTGGGGTTTGGGAAACTCCCTGTTTCATTTGTTCTTTCACTCATCAAGCAACTAGTGATCTCTGCTATATGCCAGGCACAAAACTAGATGCTTCTGAATTTGCTTAGACCTTGCCAGCCTCTTCCCCTCTTCCTGTTCCTTCAGCTGGGGTTTGGGGGCCAAACTGGTTGGGCCTAGAGAAATAGGATGCTGAGACCTACTTGACTGCAAATCTTTTCCCTGCTCAGATCCTTGTGGTACCCCCAGATGCCATGGATCTGCTCACAGTATTATCTCCTTTGATATCAATACTACGTGAGTTGGATACAAGTTAATGCCCTGTTTTCAAACACTCTCATCTGGAGTAGTGGCTATTCTCTCTGAGTGGCAACTCTTTTCCATATTAGACACCTGGATGTATCTAGTCCTGTCATAAGCCCTATGTTCAGGTTCACATTAAAGTCCCAGTAAGCAGCTCATTAAGACCACGTCATTTATTTCTGAGTCTCCCTGTCATTATCCTCATCAAAACAGGGTTGACTACAAAAAGGATCAGAAAGTCTCAGGTGGAGTTTTGAAGGCAAATTTCCTGGATTAAAGCCTTCTCTACAGTCATTAAGGTCCCAAATGCTTTAAAATTGAATAATTAAAATGATTTCTAGACTTATTACAAAGTTGTCACTCTGAATAGTGTATATTTTTAGACTATGATCTCAGGATGCCTTTAGCAGAAAAGTAATTCCACATTCAAATCCAGTCATATGAGGAAAATTAACATAAAGCCTGAATGTGCTCACAACTAATAAAAACAATTACTTTATCTAAGCAGAGAATTTTCTAACAAGAGCATCCAAAATTTGATTGTTCTAATGGTTTCAGAAATCTGTGATTTAATGATTTCAAACAACATATTTGTTACTAGTATTTCAGAGAAATATTTCAAAGAGCATAAAGATTGTTAGATTGTTAGCCGGGCTCGGTGGCTCAGCCTGTAATCCCGCACATTGGGAGGCTGAGGTGAGTGGATTGCCTGAGCCTGCGGGTTTGAGACCCATCTGGGCAACTTGGCGAGACCTCATCTCTACAATAGATCAAAAAATTAGCCGGGCGTGGTGGCACGCGCCTGAAATTCCGGCTACTCGGAAGGCTGAGGCGGAAGGATCGCCGGAGCCCAGCAGGTCGGGGCTGCGGTGGCTGGGAGCGGCCACTGCACTCCAGTCTGGGCGACAGAGTGAGACTCCAACTCAAAAAAAAAAAAAACAAAAAACAAAGATTGCTCATGGTTTGCCCAAGGATTGTGAATATGACACCTTAGAATGGACTTGAGAGTCAGACCCAAGTACAAGGTCAGGCGCCAGGCTAGCACTTAACAGTGAGGAATTCACTGTCATGACTAGTGAGTGCTATCCTCTTCAATCTGGAAATCACACTTGCTGATCTCAAAGGTGCTCCTGGTCACAGAGCGGGTATGGTCTGGTGGTAGGCATGCTTTAAATGTTTAAGTGGTACAAAGTATCTTCACATCTTATAACAACTAAGATAGTAGCCACCCCAAGGATTTATTAGATCTTTGAAACTATATGTGAGGGCCAAGAATAAAAGTGACTTTTGTCCTGTATTTTCTCGTAGAGAATGATTATAGCTGAATTTTTTAATCAAATGAAAATCTTCATGCTATGCCAAATAAGATGCAAAACTAGTAGATATATCAAAAGTAAATGTAAGATATCACATTTTTAACCGAGTTCCCAATAATGGAAAATAATCAGGTTAAAATAGAAACATAATTAATTATAATATTATCCCACCTCAGCTGTATATAATTGATAATCGGTATCACTGTCAATGTAATTTCAAAGTGACCATCTCAAAGTGTAATCCCTCCCCTCTTTTTTGGAATGATTGTTGCATTAAGCTCTAAGAGAGAATAATAATTACATTGAGTTCAAGTGATAAAATGCATTAGGAAAAAATAGCACATATGTTACAGTTACTATACTAGAAAAATGTAGGTTTTATAAGTGCATATATTATTGTGACATAAATTATTGAGATATAGTCTGATAACTGCAAATTTCAACATGCATTTATATTTAAATATATAATTACTATAGCATAACATCAAAATACCTTTTTGAACCTAGCACTAATTATGTTAATTGCTTACATTTCTATGAATAAATGTGAATAAAAATTATTAAAGTCATTTATCACACACACCAAAAAAAATCCAAGTAGTTAAATAAATGTGTTCTGAAGCAAGTTACTCATACACACTGCTCAGCAAATATTAAATATCTATGACCACCCACATTTTGTCAAATTTAGCCCTTTAAAAAAAACAGTCCTTGGAGTTTCAGTTTCCTCTGATTAGTTCTCCTTTGATGAGACTTCCAAGTTCCTGATATTGATTTACTACTGTCAGAATTTTCCTAGCATTTGTAACTATGAAATAATTTCAACTTAGGTCTTAAAGGAACAGCACAGGGTCCTTTTCAAGAAAGAGAACTGTACAGATTCTCTTCAAGAAAGGAGGAAAGGGAGGAATGTTCTTATAATCAAAGAATACATCAAATTTTAAAAATCATTATCACCTCTAAAGGTAGCCTGAATATGCATACAACTACACTGATAAGTTAGATGACCATATTAATAATGACCATTTTAACACCGCAAGTCATAGGATTTATTTTGAAAAAAAATTTAAAGGAAAAAAATGCTATAATGTAAACTTCCACACAATTTACCCAGAAGTTGAGTAGCTTCAAGATGTGAAAACTGTTCCAGGGATTAACGGATACTCAATTTTGCTAGAAAATGCTAAGGCGACTGATACTGTTTGCTGTGTTCAGTTAATCTAGTGCAATAATCAAATTAGTACTGAAAACTGGGCACTTGGAATTACAAAGTTAATTGATGAGGACTGCAAACTTGCTTACCACAGGTTGTAACGGGGCACCAGGCATCATGGCATTGGCTAGTTGCATTTGCTGGGCCAACATGGCCATGTTCTTCTGCTGAATCAAGTTATTGCGTCCATTTATCTCCAATTGCGTTTTTAAATGTGGGGGTGGATGAAGATATTTGCAGTTCTCCCTGGAGCAACGGCCCTATAAAGACAAAAGCAGCGAACGTCATCTTAAAAAATAATAAAATCAGCAAATTAAAAAAAATCATAATGCAAGTCAACCACTTGAATTTCTCATACGTTTTTTATACAATGTACTGTTCATTTCATTTTATCATATGTTTAGAATAAGTAATGAATTCACCTAAATGCATTATCTAAATGAGGGATTAAGACATTTGAGAAAGTTTAAAAGCTTAAAGGGTTTCATTTCTTTTAATAATCTTGGCATTAATATTTCTAGATTCAAGTTTAAAATCTACAAACTGCCAGGGTAATACTAAAACACAGAATATCAAATAAAGAATATTAGGCTCCTGCTATAATATTTTCCTAGTTAACTTTAATGAATCCAAAAGATCCTTCAGTAAAGCAATTTTACAAGTATCTTATCACAAATAAAATTAAAATTACTACTAAACTCTATAAGCCTATGCTTTAGGAATTTACAGTTCCCAAGTGGTCTCTCTGTATATAGGAGATTAATAAGTACAATGAAACCGGCAAGAAATGTAGCTTTTAACCTTCCAAAGATAAATCTAGTCTTCTCTACTTCCCCAAAACTATAAAACTAAAAATGAACATATTTACGTTCCAAAAAATTCACAGTATAAAATAAACAAAATAAGTTGCTATAAGCCAGGCACAGTGTTATACACCTGTAATCACAGCTATTCAGGAAACTGAGGTGGGAGGATCCCTTGGACCCAGGAGTTCAAGCTTAGCCTGGGCAATATAGCGAGACCCCATCTCAAAAAAAAAAAAAAACCTATAAAATTATAAGTATAAATATACCTTTCTTTTGGGATAATTCTTTTCATCAAAAATATTCATTAAAGTCTATAATATGTAATATTATGAAGGACTCTTCGCATATTATTTCAATACATTGTCAATTCATATCAATAAACAGATTTCATCAACTATCTTGACAACTTCTTTCACCAATAAATCTTATTAAAACTGTTTTGAAGAATAAAAGAAAGATTAATTAAAGCCATCACCCACCTTTTAAAAAATCAGTTGAGTATAATTTGACTTTATAACGCAAACTGACTTCAAAAACTGATGCTTATGTTTATGATAAAATTTGTCACAATTCTAATTTGAATGACTTATTTTGGCTACTTTTGTCAAATATTTTCAGGAATGTCTCTAAGTATCATAGAATATTGCCTGTTATTTTAACAAACTTTATGTAACACTTAAAACCACAAGGCAGTAGAGGACAGTGGTTGATAGCAAGGACCCTACAGGTGTTAAATGCTCCGACAAAGGCCTAGTCTCTCTCTAGTGAGCTGTATGAACTACATGAGAAACCAATTTCTTTAAGCCTCAGGCTCTTTACCTAGTACAAAATTGTAAAACCTCTATGACCTCCCACTACAATTCAAACTGCATATCAAGCAAAAGAAAAAAAAAAAAAACACTGGCATAAAGGTAATTTTAAAATAAATATATGACTTATAAATTACCATGCTTGGTGTATGTTGGGATCATGAGCACAACTAGCTTAAAAGCATCTTGATGCAAAACAACCAAAAACAACACTCAGAATCACAAGATAAACCACTGAGTACAACTGGTCAAAATAAATAAGCTCCCAGATGACACCTGGTCTGATTTCAGAGCTATTCAGTGAGGTCTCCTAGGGAAGCCTGTTTTTTCAGTACACAGAACTTAGACTGCAAGAGAAAACCTTGTTTAAGAACAAGTTTTTATCTTAAACTTAGTATCTCCGCATCATATTTCTTACTAAAACTGGATTTACTGAAGTTCAGATAAGCAGGGCTATATCCACCCTGAGGATTTAACTGTTGACAATTCACTCAGGTCAATTTCTATAGCTCGACACACAGTACAGTGATAGCCCTGGGCCCTGAACCAGGCCTTGCCAACACTAACTCTGGCCTTCCTAAGCACTTCACTGGAACATATACCACTCAGTCCCTCCTACAGATGGACCAAGCCAGAATGGAAATAGTGGAGGGAAATCATACGTGGTTGCTATACATTCTGCATCAGTGCATCTCAAAACTTTTACTAGGAGCCCCTGAGGTTTGATTTTCATTCTGCATTTTCTTCACCTACGCAGGAAAAATGCTATTCTAGTACATTTCTTTCCTATATTACTTTTCTATGCCCAGTTTGATGTGATTGCATTGGGCCCTCACTTTCAAAAAGCTGTGTTCCTAAGAATCAATTGATATTTTGTGGAAAAGTATACATTTTTTTATGGAGACTACCAAGCCCCTCCCACAGAGCCTGTGACCACAATCTGGGGGCTCAGAAATCTGCATTTTAACCAGTATTCCAGGTGATTCTGATCTAGCAGAAAACGTCATAAAATACACTTGTGCAAAGCCGCATGAATTTTCATTGGCATGTGTGGAAATAAAAAAAATAACAGAGTAATGTCTGCAAGTGATATTAGATAAACATTGCTTCTTAGGAAGTTCCAAACTTGTTTAATGCTGACTGTGTGTCTGAATAATTGCGGTTTGACAAATAAAAAGGTCAGGAATAAGTTAGAATAAACATCCTCTGTTAGAATTGCCTAAAACTACCAGGAGCACACCTTCCTTTGAGAGTTAAGGTAAATACAACATCGGCACATCGCCAGCTTCATCCATCTCTGAGTCCTTAGCATTATGCCTCAATAAGCATTTACAGAATGAATCAGTTTTCACTTCTTACTAAATGCTCCAAGATGAATTCCACTGTAACTCTATTCTGGAGACAATGAATATAATAGAATAAAAATGAATTGTAATACCAAATCTTGGTTCTGAGTTGTACTGACCTAATGATGCTTTTATTCAGAGGCCAGTCATTTAAATATACAATAAAGCTAGTCACAATAAAAGAAAAGGTAACAGAAGGCAGTCTCTAAGTTTCACCAGGGAGGAAAGGAGATTTGTGTAGACATTCAATGTAGGCATTCTAAAATCTATACAGTGACCATACAATCTAAAAGTCTTAAAACAGACATTCCTCAATATGTAGAGTTCACATAATACAAATTTTTATACAGGAGCTACCACTCTAAATCATTTAGAGATTTCAGCTCAGAGAGATATTAAATTGGGCTGCCAGGATTCATGCAAAAATATAAATATAAAATATGTTTTTATTCAGTTTTTATAGGTACATGTAGTTCCACCTGTTGCCATAACTGCACAATTTTATCAAACACAGCCTGGTTCAAATAGCAGCTACGTTCACTTACTTGCTGTGTGACCTTGTGGAAGTTAAGAGAAATTCTTTTCCATAGAAGAGCAAAAACAGCATCTATCTCACAAGTGATGTATAAGGATTAGCAAGACTATAGGCTACCCTCATATATGGCACCTAGTGTAATAGGTAGCCAATACATACTAATTATTTTCCTCTTTTTTCTTAAGTTCTCAAGATATAACAAACAGCAGTTGCTCAATTTAGCAGCACATCTTCTGAAAGTACTAAAAATAATACAGGTAGCAAAATCCAGTGACAAAGCATGTCAATCATCAACAACGTAATATGAGCTTGGCCCTTAGTCATCATTCTGTATTTGTCACATCCACCAAGGAAAAGTGCCATTCTAACACATTTCCTACAGTGTTATGTGTCTGCGCTTTTCTTTTGTTGACTGCCCTGAAATCTGACTTTTGGAGAGCTGCCCAGCTGACCAGCAGGTCTACAGAGTCGAGACAGTAGATTCCTTAGGCTCGATTCAAGGAGGCTTATTTTAATAGGATTGAACATGGATTCCAAAGACATCACTGCAATATTCAGGCTGTATATTGTAAGGAAAGGAGGAAATTCAATAAAAATATTGGTCTACAGTTAGTCTATTATTTTCTAATAGTTTTTCTATACCTAGAGATTCAAAGTAATCTGTCCAAAATATCCCCCTTGTAGTCTTAAAATCCTGCATTAGACCACAAACAGTCAGACAAGAACTCAGTTCAAGTTCTCCATTGTTACAAATTCTGTGACTACAACAAGGAAAAAAATATATGTGTAGATTAATTATTTAATCCTCAAAATAAATGCCTGGCTCATTTTCAAGCATCACAGTTTAATAAAGTATGCTTTTAATAATTACATATGCATACAAAGTACTATGTGTATGTGATATATACAGTTGAGAGAAATTGTAGAATATGACGGAAATAACTTACAAAAAGCAAAAGTAAGCCAAAATAAGAATAAAACTGCATGAAAATAGAGATGAAAATTTAAAAACATAAGAAAGCTACTTCCTAGCTATTTTTAATATTTATTTAAAAATGGGCTAATAATTAAAAACAAAATATCTTACTCAGAAGTTGGCTGGACTTATTTAATAAAAAAATTCAAAATTCTATCTGAAAACTGGGAAAACTAATTTTCCATTTTTAATTATACTTCTTCCAACTAAAGTAAAAGGAATATTATGATTTATGAAGTCAGAGTCTGAAGACACATGTTATTAAGCTTCCAAAATGGTAACTGTGGGGTAGGATTAAAATTACCAGGTTATAGCTAGGTTGACACTGAAAACAAAGGGGCAATGAAAAAATTATAGGGGTACCAGCTTATATTCATAAATCTTTCTCAATTTCCATTGGTAAGGCTAGTATGGTATTCCGGTAAGATAACTCAATGAGAACCATTTATTTCAACTGATAAAACCAATTATTTCTTTTGGGACAGCTGAGATATGCAAATGTTTTTGAAGCACTTTCTGGAGATATTCACTGCTCAGATATTATCCAGAAACTCTGGCTTAAAATTTTGGTAGTTACTTATTGAAATCTGTACCATTTTTTTCAGCTAAGATGATACAAATCTCAGAAAATTTTTGCCAAAAATAGCAACTCTGGTAGTCAAGATATATAATTTCACACCTACAAAAAAATGTTTTCTAATAGCTCTGCCATGCTTTTTAATGATCAATTCTGATGTTTTAATGAATATATATGTATATAAAATATTTATTTAAAATTATAAGCATTTAGTGATAGG